GACTCCAACTCCGCAACATCACCAAAATACGCATGTTCCTAACCCCAGAAACCACTAAACAGCTCATCCACTCCCTCATCATATCACGACTCGATTACTGCAACTCCCTCCTTACTGGCCTGCCTTGCCGCTGGGTATCCCCGCTTCAGTCCATCCTGAATACGGCAGCCAGACTCATTCACCTTTCCAACCGCTCCATCTCCGCCACCCCCCTCTGCCAATCCCTCCACTGGCTTCCGATTGCGCAACGGATCAAATTCAAAATCCTAACACTTACGTACAAAGCCGTCCACCATACTGCCCCGAACTACATCACTGACCTAATATCCAAGTACCATCCAGCACGCACACTCCGCTCCTCACAAGACCTCCTTCTCTCTAGTTCCCTGGTCTCCTCCTCCCATGCCCGCCTCCAGGACTTCTCCAGGGTGTCACCCATCCTCTGGAACTCCCTGCCCCAACCCATCAGATTATCACCTACTCTCCTCTCCTTTAGGCTCACCCTGAAAACCCATCTCTTCAGGGAAGCCTACCCCACCCCCTGCTAAAATGCCGACCTCCTCCACTCTTCCTACCACTCCATCCCCCACAGCTATCTCCGCCTGTGCCACCATCCCCTACCTCCTAGAGTGTAAGCTCGAAAGAGCAGGGCCCTCAATCCCCTCATGTTTTGCATTGTATTGTTATTGTTCTGTCGCATGTTCTGTCCCCCTTTGTAATGTACAGCGCTGAGCAAACTATCGGCGCTTTATAAATACTGTATTATAATAATAATAATATTGGAGACTTCTAGCCAACATTGGTGGACAAAGGAGATGGATCATGTGAACAACCATGCACCACAGTATTAATATTTGATGAACAAAGAAGAGTGAAAAAAAAATGTTGAAGATATTCTGTCAACAGAACGAATAGTATATTTTTGTATGTTAGTGTATCAGAGCATATGAAGCTGAAGCTTAGTTGTCCCATGTCCTTCAGGCTCATGGTTGCTCTAGAAACCTCTTCACTGATGCCCAGTCCTCTTCACAGTGCAGAACTTTCAGCATACATGGATTAATAGTTTTGGGTCCAACATTGCAGAGCATTGAAAAAGGTCCTGATGGGGGCCCGTCTCTTTTCTCCCCTCTTCTATTGACCAAAGTATTTGCATTGTTTTCACAGAATATAGCAAATTCTGTAAATGGGGGAGAGAGTGGATCAGTGACAGGATCCTCTCCCCCATTCACCAACCTTGTAAGCACTCTTTCATACCAGCAGCTGTGCTGACCATACAGCCACTAGTGTGCACTGGGGAGAAAACTGTTTCGATGTGCTGACCCTGCCACATCGTACTGTTTCTTTTTTTTGTTGTTAAAACTTAATGAAATGTCACAAGTGACATTTCATTAAGATTTATTGGCCACAGAATGGTGCAATGTGTGGACCACAACAAATCACCCTGCACTGGATAAAAACATTTTCAGAGTACAGCACTGCAACACTGTGGTGTGAGCTGGCCTCATAGGCAGCAAGAGTTGGTACTGCATTGGGAAAGGTGCACATCACAGTCCCAACACACCTGGTGTGAAAGAGCCCTTATATTTTGTGAAAACAATCCAAGGATGTTTGTCAGTGGAGAATGGGGTATAAATTGGTATACTTTTAATTGCCAAAGGCTTTTCCACATTAGCTTATTACATGATGTGTCGGATGCCTGGTTCTGGTCCATGATAAACTCAGAGAACACAGAGGAGATCCCTGCTGTTCTTGTAGCCTGAAAGCCTTATATATTGAGTATGGGAATATCTAAGACATATTCCACCATTTCCATCTCTGGTAAATGCTATTCTGATGAGATTTTGACTGTCTTCCTGAGCACTTTAGTGACAGTTGTTGATATCACTACCATATTGCTCACTGTTCTTCAGAAGACCTGATGCAGAGAAACCTGTACTTGGGGACATGCAAAACAAGGAATCCTTCAGCTTCTTCATTCATTCGGTGAATATGGCTTCCTACACCATTCCTGATGGACCCCTTTTGTGCTGCTGCTGTCTGTGGATATGTGATTGCAGCACATCTCCTATTACCTATTTATTATGCTCCTTACCATTCATCAGTTCATTTAGGCATCAGTCATCAGGGGATGGTTCTGACACGTGGAAGCAAACCCGTGCTCTCCAAGACAGCAGCCACATGGAGATACAATGCAGGACTATGCAGTCAGTTCTGGAAAAAAAGATCAGAAACAGAGACTCCAGGCAATACTGAAATCCATTTCTTGGCCCTCCACTTGACTTGATTTGGACAGAGTTTCCATATTAGGTCCTCTTTAATATAATAGTTCCCTAGTAATTAATTATCCTACGAACAGGTGGATGAAAATATTTTATATTGTATTTTAAAATACTAGAAATATACTGTATACCTTCAGCAGTAAAAACTGCATGTTAACCGACATCTAAAAGCTTACTCCTATTTTTGCAAATGACATGTGCCTTTTGTCCCCTTGGCATAATAACCTTCTTTCAATTATGAAACAGAAGACGTGCTCTGTAGGGTACATCTGTATAAATAAATTACTAAGGAAACAGTGAATCTCTGAATTATTAATCTTTATTCACTCTAAAAACATCAAAAAACAAGTTAGAGCATATAATCTGTTAACATTGTTTAGCAGGAATAAAATTCCAACACTTGAGGACCATCAAATTCACAACTGATTTCACACTTCACAAAATTATGCATGTAGAATTGACTAAACAATGCAGTAGTCTGTGCACAACCAATAAAAATATTTTCTGGCTTATTGTGTCTGAGGACCAAAAGGATCTTCAGTAATAAATGTCTATATTGCTATAAATTAAACAAGCAGCTTTAAAGTATTACCGGTGTTCAATAAAGGTTTAAAGCCACCTTGATGCTTTGTTAAAAATGAGCCCGGAGCATTCTGTGAAAGAAGTTAGATACTTACTTCTCCAGTAGGAGGTGAGTCATTTGGCACACAGGACACAGCTGCCATCCAACGGTTTTAGGTGATCAGATAGCATATCCTCCTCTGGGGGCCCCCTACGGGATACAGTAGTGATGTCGTTTACATGTCTCTGTTTAATGGGTCAGAAGTGCTCCTTGTTGTCCTCTAGTATAGCCATAAATGGTCTAATCCACAGCTAAGCATTGTATGGGGCAAATGATTAAAGATTTTGGTCTGCAGATAGATTTTGATTTACTGATTTAGACATTGCTGTCTTGCAAAGTCATTGACTCAGTAATAGGTGTTCCCAGGAAACAAAATTGCCAACTGCCAAAGAATTGCCTGGAGCATTCAGGCAATGTTAGGATGAGAAACAAGAGCTTTATGCACATGGACTCTGTACTCCATATTTAAGGGAAAGTATATAACTAAAAGGAAATCTATAATGGCTTAAGGAAAATGTTATTACTTTTTTAGGTTTAAAAGTTTTTAAATATATACACTATATTGCCAAAAGTATTGGGACCCCTGTCTTTACACGCACATGAACTTTAATGGCATCCCAGTCTTAGTCCGTAGGGTTCAATATTGAAAAGAAAGTGCAGCGCTAAAATATTGCAAATTAATACTTCCAGTCCATAAACCAGCTGCACATATGATAAAAGTTAAAATCACAGTATGTAAAATAAATGTGTAAAATGGTGACAATCTGTTGTAGGTGATGGTAACAGGAGATAAAAGTGACTTCAATGTTCCAGGTGGCGAGGTGATAAAATAGCTAAAATACGCACTCACCAGATGCGTATCCTATATACGCATTTTATCAATAACCAGTGGTCCCCCTCAGGGATGGGATGGATGAGCTGAACCGCTGATAACGGACTATCCCTCTTGATATTGGTCTGGTCAGTAGTCGTCTCTCTTGGGGAATCACTGAGTATCACTGTGGAAGCGGTGATTGCACAAGAGAGACGACTACTGACCAGACCAATACCAAGAGGGAGAGTCCGTTATAAGCAGTTCAGCTCATCCATCCCATCCCTGAGGTGGACCTCTGGTTATTGATTATATGCGTATATAGGATACGCATCTGGTGAGTGCGTATTTTAGCTATTTTATCACCTCGCCACCTGGAACATTGAAGTCACTTTTATCTCCTGTTACCATCACCTACCACAGATTGTCACCGTTTTACACATTTATTTTACATACTGTGATTTTAACTTTTATCATATGTTCAGCTGGTTTATGGACTGAAAGTATTAATTTGCAATATTTAATCCTGCACTTTCTTTTCTTTTTAAGTATTCTATGAGGTTTTATTCTGGTTACCTTTTTTGTGCTTTTAGCTGCTATATTATTACTAAGCACTCACTGATTTTATTGCTTTTTCCAGGGTTCAATATTGAGCTGTCCCACCCTTTGCAGCTATAACAGCTTCAACTTTTGTGGGAAGTCTGTCCACAAGGTTTAGGAGTGTGTCTATGGGGATGTTTGACCATTCTTCCGGAAGTACTGTACATTTGTGAGGTCAGGCACTGCTGTCGGGTGAGAAGCTCTAATTCACCCCAAAGGTGTTCTATCGGGTTGAAGTCACTACTCTGTGCAGGCCAGTCAAGTTCCTCTACCCTAAACTCCCTCATCTGTTGTCTTTATGGACCTTGCTTTGTGCACTGGTACGCAGTCATGTTGGAACAGGAAGGAGCCATCCCCAAACTGTTCCCACAAAGTTGGGAGCATGAAATTGGCCAAAATGTCTTGGTATGCTGATGCCTTAAGAGTTCCCTTCTTTGGAACTAAGGGGCCAATCCCAACCCCTGAAAAACAGCCCCATACCATAATCCCCCCTCCACCAAACTTTACACTTGGCACAATGCAGTCAGGCAAGTATCATTCTGGCAACCGTCAAACACATTCATGTCCATCAGATTGCCAGACAGAGAACACGTCTCCACTGCTCTAGAGTCCAGTGGCAGTGTGCTTTACACCACTGAATCTGACGCTTTGCATTGCATTTGGTGATGTAAGGCTTGAATGCAGCTGCTCAGCCATGGAAACCCATTCCATAAAGCTCTCTACTCACTGTTGTTGTGCTAATCTGAAGGCCACATGAAGTTTGGAGGTCTTTAGCAATTAACACTGCAGATAGTTGGCGACTAATGCACACTATACGCTGCGCTGACCCCGCTCTGTCATTTTACGTAGCCTACGACTTCGTGGCTGAATTGCTGTTGTTTCCAGTTGCTTTCACTTTGTTATAATATCACTAACAGTTGACCGTGGAATATTTAGCAGCAAAGAAATTTCATAGATGGACTTATTGCACAGGTGGCAACCTATCACGGTACCACACCTGAATTCACTGAGCTCCTGAGAGCGACCCATTCTTTCACAAACGTTTGTAGAAGCAATCTGCATGCCTAGGCTTGATTTTATACACCTGTTGCCATGAAGGTTATTGGAACACCCAAATCCAATGATTTGGAGGGGTGTCCCAATACTTTTGGCAAAATAGTGCATATATATATATATATATATATATATATATATATATATACAGTGAGGAACAGAAGTATTTGAACACCCTGTGATTTTGCAAGTTCTCCCACTTAGAAATCATGGAGGGGTCTGAAATTCACATTGTAGGTGCATTTCCACTCTGAGAGACAGAATTTAAAAAAACATTCAGGAAATCACATTGTATGATTTTTAAAGAATTTATTTGTCTTGCACTGCTGATCATAAGTATTTGAACACCTAAGAAACAGCAAGAATTCTGGCTCTCAAAGACCTGTTACTGTGCCTTTAAAAAATCCACCTCTACTCCACTCATTAATCTAACTCAATAGCACCTGTCTGAGCTCTTTAAAGACACCTGTCCACCCCACAGTCAGTCAGACGCCAACTACTACTATAGGCAAGACCAAAGAGCTGTCAAAAGACACCAGAGACAAAATTGTGGACCTCCACAAGGCTGGAAAGGGCTACGGGGCAATTGCCAAGCAGCTTAGTGAAAATAGATCAACTGTTGGAGCAATTGTTACAAAATGGAAGAGGCTAAAGATGACTGTCAGTCTCCCTCAGACTGGGGCTCCATGCAAGATCTCACCTCGTGGGGTATCACTGATGATAAGAAAGGTGAGGGATCAGCCCAGAACTATAAGGGAGGAGCTGGTCAATGACACAAAGAGAGCTGGGACCACAGTTTCAAAGGTCACTGTCGGTAGAACACTACGCCGTCATGGTTTCAAATCATGCATTGCATGGAAGGTTCCCCTGCTCAAGTCATCACATGTCCAGGCCCGTCTGAAGTTTGCCAATGACCATCTGGATGATCCAGAGGAGGCATGGGAGAAAGTCATGTGGTCAGATGAGACCAAAGTAGAACTTTTTGGTCTAAACTTCACTCGTCGTGTTTGGAGGAAAAAGAAGGATGAGTTGCATCCCAAGAACACCATCCCTACTGTGAAGCATGGGGGTGGTAACATCATGCTTTGGGGGTGCTTTTCTGTGAAGGAGACAGGACGACTGCACTGTATTAAGGAGAGGATTAATGGGGCCATTTATTGTGAGATTTTGAGCAACAACCTCCTTCCCTCAGTCAGAGCATTGAAGATGGGTCGTGGCTGGGTCTTCCAACATGACAACGACCCGAAGCACGCAGCCAGGATAACCAAAGAGTGGCTCCGTAAGAAGCATATCAAGGTTCTGGAGTGGCCTAGCCAGTCTCCAGACCTAAATCCAATAGAACATCTTTGGAGGGAGCTGAAACTCTGTGTTGCTCAGCGGCAGCCCCGAAACCTGACAGATCTAGAGGAGATTTGTGTGGAGGAGTGGGCCAAAATCCCTGTTGCAGTGTGTGCAAACCTGGTGAAGAACTACAGGAAACGTTTGATCTCTGTGATTGCAAACAAAGGCTTCTGTACCAAATATTAACATTGATTTTCTCAGGTGTTCAAATACTTATGTTCAGCAGTGCAAGACAAATAAATTCTTTAAAAATCATACAATGTGATTTTCTGAATTTTTTTTTAATTCTGTCTCTCAGAGTGGGAATGCACCTACAATGTGAATTTCAGACCCCTCCATGATTTCTAAGTGGGAGAACTTGCAAAATCGCAGGGTGTTCAAATACTTCTGTTCCTCACTGTATATATATATATATATATATATATATATATATATATATATATATATATATATATACACTCACTGGCCACTTTATTAGGTACGCCTTGCTAGTACTGGGTTGGACCCCCTTCTACCTTCAGAACTGCCATAATTTTTTGTGGCGTAGATACATCAAGGTGTTGGAAACTTTCCTCAGAGATTTTGGTCCATATTGACATGAATTACTGTTGCCTTTTTATCATCTCGAACCAGTCTGCCCATTCTCCTCTGAACTCTGACATCAACAAGGCATTTTTGTCCACACAACTGCCGGTCACTGGATATTTTCTCTTTTTTTGGACCATTCTCTGTAAACCCTAGAGATGGTTGTGCTTGAAAATCCCATTAGATCAGCAGTTTCTGAAATACTCAAACCAACAACCATGCCACCCACATTAAAAGTTATTTAAACCTCCTTTCTTCCCCATTCTGATGCTCGGTTTGAACTTCAGAAAGTCGTCTTCACCATGTCTTGATGCCTAAATGCATTGAGTTACTGCCATGTGATTGGCTGATTATCAATTTGTGTTACCAAACAATTGAACAGGTGTACCTAATAAAGTGGCCATATATATATATATATATATATATATATATATATATCCCTCCTCCTCCAATTTCTCTCCAGACAAATTTTATATGATTTGATATGTTTTATTAGGTTTATGTCACTCTGATACCTTATGATGACTATATTCACTTAAGCACTTTATGATTGCATCTGACACTTATTTTTAGGGCTGCACTTACATTTGTATTGATATTAAAAAGTCTGCATCAATATTCCCACACCTCTGTCATGTTCTGCCTCATTCAGTTGTGTGTGTCAATTTTAGCTTGAGCTACTGCATTCTGTAACCAACAGACTTTCTTTTTCAACAGAGCTGCACAAAATAGACAGGTAAACATGTAAAAAAGAAAGCCCAGAGAGCTACTTCCTGCCTAAAACATGTATATAAAGTATATATGTAACATTTACTATTTTACAATTTTACTTTAAAAAGAAAACAGTTATGCAAAGCAAGTCATGCTGGTATTTCACAGATGCAATCAGTCACATGCTTTGTACTGTGTGATGTGATTATTAGACGAGGATTGGCATAATAGGAAACACACGGAATATTAACTTTTTCCTGGCACTAGAGCTAATTAAATCTTTCTAGGCTAGCATGGTTAGCTTTGCTTTCAGCATTTAAAACTCAAAAGAAATAGAATGATAAGTAGAACCAAAAGTGTAATTATAAATCAAACACTGCAACATGTGCGCTTGGTATTAATACAGATTTTTTTTTTCCTGCAAACTCTGTCAGACTTTTCATAAAACTGAGGAATTCCAGACAAATCTGTTTCCATGCAGGTTCCTATACTTTGTGCCAGACTAAAACTTTGTTAGATAGAGGGTTGAGCAAAAGCACAACAAAAAATCATAACCATACAGTGACATGCTAAAGCAAATTAAATATTGTACATAAAATGTATTGGGCTAAATTTTATCTAGAGAAATTTAAAGCTCTGTAATGTCTTAAAACAGCTCCACTTTTTTTGACTGGCCTCCCCTTAACACCTAAATCCAGCCTAAATCCAGCAGCCTTCTTTAACTTGGCTGGGCATTTTTTATAATATATTTGTGACCAGACCTGAACTTTTTCTATCTATCTGCTAAGCACAAAAGTGCTTTGCCCATGCAGTTTCTTTTTTTTGCAGGTTCATTTTAAATTGTTAAATGATATGCTGTTTTAAACACATTGATTGAACAAAATCAATTCTCGTGACCTAGTGTCCATTCTCTGTAACGTGTTCACATGTCTGAATTGACCATAATATTCAGAAAATAAGCGGAATTGAAAAAAACCCTCCTTTCCTTCTATTTAGCAAAGCCTGTGACTGACTTTTGACTGCAGTTATATTAGTAGGCGTTAGAGATCAGTTAATCTGTTAGCCTTATGTCTCTAGGAGTTATTTTTTCTTTATTTCAGTGAAGAAAATAACAGTTCCCAGGGCCCCTTACCAGTTATCAGTTCACTCCAATACTGCGAGACTCTGCATGCAACTCTCAGCCACCTCACTCTCTGACCTTTGGGAATCCTGCCTTATAAGTCTTTTTTGTGTCACTTTTTCATTAATCTAAGACAGGTAAATCACATATAAAATATGCTCTGTCACATAGGAATTGAAAAATGTTTAAACCAACAGTAACTAATTGTGGTTGATTTACTAAAACTGGAGAATGCAAAATCTGGTGCAGCTGTGCATGGTAGCCAATCAGTTTCTAACGTCAGCTTGTTCAATTAGGCTTTGCCAAAAAATGGAAATAATTGGCTTCTATGCAGAGCTGCACCAGATTTTGCACCCTCCAGTTTTACTGAATTAACCCCTATGCATCACTTTGAGATAAACTGCTGCAAAATCTGAAAACCTTAGGTAGTCTACATAATTTATCAGTGAGCTAGCACATTAATTTAATGTTTTTTTTTTGTTTTTTTTTAAATATCCCAGGAATTAAGCACAAACAGAAATTGAGAAAGCAAGTGGAGAAGGATAGGTTGGTGAGGGAGATAGGAAGCTGGAGAGAAAAAGCTTGCAGTGTGGGTAAACGAGTGGTGGGTGGGAGGTGGTGTGAGGAAATGAGGTGGGAAGGTAACATGGGGTACGGGTATGGTTGCTGAGAGAGTAGTGGTAAACAGCATATTAAAGAGTATATGTTAGAGGAATATTAAGGAGACTTCTATATTCTCTAGAATGGACAACTTCAATCCAACAGAACCAGGTAAGTCTGAATTTTTCTTCTTGATGTTTGAAGGTTGCAGTCAGATCTTCCAAATTCTGAAGTTTGATAATTTTGGTAAGCAACAACTGTATGGACTGTAGGGTGGGGGGGGGGACTTTTGTTTCCATAGTACTGAATTGCAAACCCAAGATGTTTTCAGTAAGTGACTTGAGTGTTTGTATCTTTTTCCAGGGAGGTGGTTTGAGTGTAGCACGTATGCAGTTGGATTGCCCCCAGGTTACCATCAGTAATTTGTATTTTATATTGTGCATCTGGTTTCAGAAGTTTCCCATCTTTGAACAGGACTACAAAATACAAAGAAGTGTGCCCTCTTTTGCACTGCATCTCCAGCAGTTTCCTAGTTCTAGTGGAAACTGGGTCCTTCTCCCATTCAGAAGGAATGGTGGAGTGAACTGCCCTGGGGTTAATCAGTTAAGCAGGTTTGTGATAAAGATTGATATAAAATCCCTTTATCCATGTA